TGCCAAAATGAAGGACTTACCGTCCCGGCAGCCCCCTGGTCCTCGCTCTCACCGCTCCCACTGCTGCTGCAAAAAATGGAGCTGTCAGTGGTCAGTTATTGCCAGTGCACTGAATAAAGGAGTTGGAAGGTCACGCTGCAGCCATTCAGGACATTGGTTAGGCCACTTTTGGAATACTGCATTCATTCTGGTCTCTCTGTTAAAGGAAAGATGTTGTGTAACTTGAAAGGGTTCAGAAAAGATTTACAAGGATGTTGCCAGGGTTGGAGGGTTTAAGCTGTAAGGAGAGGCTGAATAGGCTGGGGCTATTTTCCCTGGAGTGTCATAGGCCAAAGGATGACCTTATAGAGGTTTATCAAATCATGAGGGGCATGGGTAGGGTGAATAATCAAGGTCTTTTCCCCAGGATAAGGGAATCTAAAACTAGAGGGCGTTAGTTTAAGGTGAGAGGGGAAAGACATAAAAGGGACCCAAGAGGCAACTTTTTCACACAGAGGGTGGTGCATGTGTGGAATGAGCTGCCAAGGAAGTGCTGAAGGCTGGTACGATTACAACATTTAAAAGGCATCTGGATGGGTACATGAATAGGAAGAGTTTAGAGGGATATGGTCCAAATGCTGGCAAATGGCACTAGATTAATTTAGGATATCTGGTTGGCATAGATAAGTTGGACTGAAGGGTCTGTTTCTGTGCTGTACAACTCTATGACTCTACTTGAGTTGCTCCCTCCCTTTTATTTCCTGAATTTGAGCTATTTTTTGGATGTTACTTGTATCTTCTGTAATGGAGACCAATCCAAAATACTTGTTCAATTCATTTCCTTAATTTCCATTATTCATTTTATTTACCAACTGATGTCCAACTTTTTAAAAATCTCCACAAACTTATTATTTATCGTTATATATCCAGCTAGCTTTCTTTCATTTTAAATTTCTCAACTAAATGTAGCTCACTCACAGAACAACAATTATACCTTGAACCTACTTGAGAGGAAAAAGACATAAACTTATAAAAACTTAACTAGCACAGAAGATGCCCCTGAATGTCAGGGCAGCAAACCAGGCGATGAGAGTAAAATGAACCATTCTGTTGCTTAGGGCACTAAAATCAAATTATCAATGAAATATGAAAATTCAGCCAGAGGGAATTTTGAGCAGCCCTTTGAAGAATTCCTCGACGCATTTCTCTTTTTTATTGGCTATCAACTAATTCCTCTATCTAGTTGTCTTGGTAAAGTGAGGACTTGTCCAAAGATCAAACCCAGGCATCACTTACACATATACCTTAGATATTCTCTGAAAGTCTGGGCTGCGATTTCCCCCGAGGGCTTCAGGATTCTACCGGAAGAGTCTAAAAGGGGTCAGAGGTATTCCCCTTCGTGATAACCTGTCTCACTGCAGTGATTTCCCCAAATTCAGCAGTTAGTGCAGAGAGGGTGGGATTACCATCCAATTAAAGAGGCACGAAGCAAGCCTCAAGGTGTAGACACCCCCTGTCCTATTCTTTTAATTTTTAAAATTTAAAAAAAAAGGTCTGCAGCTGCAATTAAAGCCAGGCAGACTGCCACTGCCTGCAACGTTCCTCCCACTGCCTGTAGCATTCCTTCCATCCCCTCCTATCTATGGCCTGATGCAGACGGTCTGCTGCACTGTTCTCCAACACATTTCAGCAACTAGCTTTTTTTTTAAAAGTTTTTTTCATTTAACCTATTTTTCTGATCAACCTGACTGATCACTTTTCATCAATGTTATTACACACCTCTGGAGCAAGTAGGACTTGAACCCAAGCCTCTTGGTCCAGGGATAGGGACACTACTACTGCACTGCAAGAGGGTCTTCTCTGAGCACCTAGAAGCTGATGAAAAATTCTAGTCAGCCTCTTAAAATAGGTCTTAATAGACCTTTAACAACTGAATTGGCTACCAACCAATGAAATGCAATCAGCTCAGCAACAGGACATTCCTGTAGGAGTTGCTCAGGCTAGATATTTCTGAATTGACATGTTCAGGCATGTTATGACACATGTTTGGAGTGGGTAGGACTTGAAGCTAGGCTTCATGGATGAGGCAGGACACCATCAGTACACCACACAATCCCTAGAGTACCTCAGGGTAGTGTCCTAGTCCCAACCATCATCAGCTGCTTCAGCAATGACCTTCCCTGCATCATAAGGTCAGAAGTGGGATGTTTATAAGTGGCTGCAAAGTGTTCAGCACCATTCGCGACTCATAAAATACTCTAGTTATGTCAAAATGCAACTACTGGACAATATCCAGGTTTGAGCTGACAATTGGCAAGAATCTAACCATTGCCCTGCGATATTCAATGGTGTTACCATCTCTAAATTCCCAAATATCAACATTCTGTTGGTTACCATTGTCCAGAAACTGACCTCACCTGTCATATAAATATTGAGCAACAAGAGCAGGTCAGAGACTGGGAATACTATAGTGTGACCTACTTACTGAATCCCCAAAGCCTGTCCACTAACTACAGGAATGTGATGGAATATTCTCCACTTGCCTGGATGAGTATAGCTCCAACAATGCTCAAGAAGTTTGACACCATTCAGGCCAAAGCAGCCTGCTTGACTGGCACTCCATCACCCAGCATTCATTTGCTCTAGCACTGATGCACATTAACATCTATGAACTACACTGTAGCAACTCACCGAAGGTTTCTGAGACAGCATCTTCCAAACACACAACCATTATCATTTAGAAGGATGAGGGCAGCAGATATGTGGGAACACCACCACCTGCAGGTTCCCTTCCAAGCCACTCACCATCCTTACTTGGAAATGTATCTCCGTTCCTTCACTGTTGCTGGCTCAAAATCCTCAACCTTCCTTCCTAATAGCATTTTGGGTCTACCTACGGCACATAGACAACAGCGGTTCAAGAAGGTAGCTCACCGCCACTTCTCAAGGGCAACTAGGATGGACAATAAACACTGGCCCAGTCAGCAAAGTTCACATTTTGTGACTGAATAAAAAAACCGAGTGCAAATTTTCTTTCTGTGTTGTTAGCATTTAATTATTTGTAACTTTGAAGACTGAGTAATGTCCCCAAAATGAATTTCTGCTTGGAATTTTCTGTATGGGTAATCAGGTCAAAGTTAAGAGGGGACTTTGGAAACAGTCCGCAAGATACATTGGATTGGATTGTCACATGGATGTTGAAGCTTCAAATTCAATACGTCCAGCAGAGCCATTTCAAATGAGGCAGTCTCCTAATTGCCCATCTCTGTATTTGCTGTCCAGTTCAGGACAGTGTGGCAGATCAGTGATAAGGGCAGGGCAGTGGATGTGGTGTATATGGATTTTAGCAAGGTATTTGATAAAGTTCCACATGGTAGGCTCATTCAGAAAGTAAGGAGGCATGGGATTCAGGGAAATTTGGCTGTCTGGCTGGCCAATAGAAGACAGAGGGTGGTAGTAGATGGAAAGTATTCAGCCTGGAGCTTGGTGGCCAGTGGTGTTCTGCAGGGATCTGTTCTGGGACCTCAGCTCTTTGTGATCTTTATAAATGACTTGGATGAGGAAGTGGAAGGGTGGGTTAGTAAGTTTGCCGATGACACGAAGGTTGGTGGAGTTGTGGACAGCATGGAGGGCTATTGTAGGTTGCAACGGGACATTGACAGGAAGCAGAGCTGGGCAAGAAGTGGCAGATGGAATTCAACCCAGAAAAGTGTGAAGTGTTTCATTTTGGAAGGTCAAATTTGAATGCAGAATATAGGGTTAATGACAGGATTCTTGGCAGTGTGGAGGAACTAAGGGATCTTGGGGTCCACGTCCATAGATCCCTCAAAGTTGCAACCCAAGTTGATAGATTGTAAAGAAGGTGTATGGTGTGTTGGCTTTCATTGGCAGGGGAATTGAGTTTAAGAGCCGTGAGGTTATGCTGCAGCTCTATAAAACCTGGTTAGACCACACTTGGAATATTGTGTTCAGTTCTGGTCACCTCACTATAGGAAGGATGTGGAAGCTTTAGAGAGAGTGCAAAGGAGATTTACCGGGATGCTGCCTGGAATGGAGGGCAGGTCTTATGAGGAAAGGTTGAAGAAGCTAGGGCTTTTTTCATTGAAGCGAAGAAGGATGAGAGGTGACTTGATAGAGGTGTACAAGATGATGAGGCATAGATACTGGATAGCCAGAGACTTTTTCCCACAGCAGAAATAACTATTATGAGGGGGCATCATTTTAAGGTGATTGGAGGAAGGTATAGGGGAGATGTCAGAGGTAGTTTCTTTACACAGAGAGTGGTGGGTGTGTGGAATGCACTGTCGGCAGTGGCAGTGGAGTCAGATAGTTTAGAGACGTTTAAGCGACTCTTGGATAGGCACATGGAGGATAGTAAAATGTAGGGTGTGCAGGATAGATTGATCTTAGTAGGATAATAGGTTGGCACAACATCGTGTGCCGGAGGGCCTGTAATGTGCTGTACTGTTCTACGAAAGATTTGGATTGATAGCCTGCCTGTTTCGAATAAGTTGTGGCCATGCCTGATAAAGGGACAACAATGGGCAACTGTCCCATTCAGGCTTTCCCAGCTGCTACCTGTGCTCAACTGCAAACCTAACCTCACATTGCTAACTCAGTCTATTAGTCCAATAGAATTGAGCTTTGACTTGTTTCTACCTGTCAGGTCATCTAATTTAAGCACTGCTGGTTGCAAAGAGCTAGCTAATAGAGAAATATATTCCAGTAAACAATGCTGTCTTCTAAATTATCTGTTTTTCCAGGCATGTGTGTAGATAAATAGAGAAACTGAGCTTTCCTCTTGGCTATTTCTGTTCTGTTTCTGCTTTTCTGCTATTCTCATTGTGGTGTGCTTTACCCTGTTCACCAGTAAATTCTAGCATACATTTTGTCACTGGAGAATTGGAAGTTACAAAGGTTTAATTTATAACACTCGTCAGCAATATTACCTTGGCAGGAAACTCCAACCCATTATAAATCACACCAATTATAAGGCCATGAAGAACGAGGAATGGAAACTCTTGCATTTTAAAACAATATCCTTTTATTTTTGTGGAATGGAACAGTTCCATGTTAATAACAAAGTTTCATAAAGGCAGACAGATATTGTTCAGTGCTAGTTTCTTTTTAAACTCCAACACAACCATTTGTGACCTTTTACAGGCTTCAGGCAGGCAAATAGGTTTGAATGTAGATTTTACAGTTTTACATCAGCTTACCTCTGTCTACTAAGAGTGTGAATGTATGAATTATAGGCAGTGGTTCAAATTAACCACAAAACAAATTAGGGATCTCATCTATTGCCCGTAATGCTTGATACTATTACATCTACATAATGGGAACTGGATATCAAATGTTAAGTTCAGTCAAAGCTACAATACATATATTTTGTAAAAAAAACCTCAATAAATTAGATATATATCTAAGTTCTTTTTTTTTGTAAATCATGCACAAATTTCAAATATTGGAAAAGTTTTTTTTATCCATTAGGTACCTGGAATGTACAACAACAGCGATCGGTAAGAAAATAACAAAGTGTCTTTTCATTTTACAAAAATTACACAGCTATAGAACTCCTACCTTTGTATCAAAGAGTTAACAGATAAGATCAATCTAGTAAATTAGTAGTTCTACAGAGTAAGAGCTTCACGGTCCTAATAAAATTTAAGGGAGGCAAATTGAATTTTAATTGATTTTAATAGGAATCCCACCAAACTTTTTCTTCAATTTCGTTTCATCTGCAGAATCCTACTTAAAATCAAAGAGAACTTTATTCTGGGTTAGAAGTTTTCTTGGTCTACTACGAAGGTGACTGACAGTTACCTATTTGGCCATCTGTTCTAGTCATTTTTCTTTTTTTATTTAAAAAAGGCTTTACCTCAAATGAATTCTCTGCAAAATTGCACGTTACATTTAAATTGCACCACATAAGTTGTGCTTGTGGCACGATCTGCATAAAGAGAAGAGAGTGACTTGCAAGTCACCAAAATATGACTGACATCAGAGATTGATTGACTGGCAATTCTTTTTCTCATGCTATGGACATTCACTATCATTGCACCCTCTCGTTACAACAATACAAAGTGCCAGCACAACACCTCAACACACTTGCACATTCAGTGCTGTCACTTGTCCTATTTTGGCACCATTACCCTATGGGGGCCAAGATGGGTTGGGGGGGTGGGGAAAAGAAATGTAAATCATAGGTATGTCAATCTGCTTTAATGTTGAGCAATATGCTCCTTTCATATGGCGTGCTTGGTTCGTGATGTCATACTGCCCCAGCCATAACAGACACCAGAATCTGACCCTACTTGTAATAAGCGTTGAAAATGCTCTCTCCAGACACAAGCCCAGCTCTGGAAGACCAAAATCCATCGCCGCACTCCGATTCTAATAGGTATTCAGTATGAGCACTTCACACACACCTGCAACTGTCCTATGCGGCAAAGTCAGCTCTCCTTCACAGGGCAGCTGCCAGGAAGGCACCAGATCCACACCACGTGGCTAACATTCACAGTCAACACTCCAGCTCTGTTGTGTTTTGATCAAAAATCAGCCACAAAGGGCAAACCTTCATTTGTTATGAAAAGTCAGTACAATTCTAGGATCGAATTTCTAACTAACAGAAAAAAAATCATTGCAATCTAAAATTAAAACTGACAATGCTCATTTTACATGACATCTGAAAACTTGATTCTAATATCTTTTTCCTCTTGAACCATAATCTACTTCTGTGTCTAACCAATTTTAAACGGGTAATAAATTAAAAATTATAAACAAGTAAAAACAAAAATTAAGAACCTAGGTAACTATAGATGTGTACAGTAATTAGTAAATAAGCTATATACTCATAAATCTCTTAACCAAAATGATATGTTAAAGTCTATGAACAACTTTACAAATATACAGTGTGCTAATCAGATTGCAAATAATTAACGCTTTTTGAACTATTTTACCCCTCACTCACTACACAATGTGTTTCTTTAATAATTTCCAGATTAATACTGAATATCCTAGACTGCAATGACTTTAGGATTTGCTTCCTCATAGTTGTAGTCATGTTTATATTTGTGATTTTTCTAAACAAGCAAATCATATGTATACAACTGTCTTTTTTTAAAAACATTATCATACAATATTCATATTTATATATTTACAACTCTCCTGCAATCTGCAGCTTCACTCAAATAAAAAGTATTTAAATGCTCTTTTGTAAAGAAAAATAATTGTCTTTTGTTTCACTTTCCTTTCTTTAGCACGCACTTTTCAACTTAGGCACAGAATGGTTCCCTTAGCAGTCATAATGCCAGAGGTCAAGATTCATCAACTCTGGGTTTTTTTTTGCAAAATATTTCATTTCTGTTTCTGTTTTCCAAAAGTAAAATTGTTTCTTCATGCTGAGCAGTACTTTTTGTTTTAGATGGGTCCAGCATTTGAAGATGTAAGGCTCAAAAATGATGGGAAGTAAAGTGAGGACAGGAGTCCCAGATGATTCAGTGTATTTCCTTCAGTATGAATTGTCCGTGATTCAGCATTCAATAGTCCTGTTTCTTTTTGCCTCAAATAAGTCTCATGTTTTGATGACACCATTGCACTGCTGGTGCTTGGGAAGACAAGGTTCATCAGGCAAAGCATCGTGGGCAAAAACGGAGTCATCTCCGGAGGAACACGTACTGTGTGTATCTTGGCATGTTGGCGAGTACTGCTCAAAAGGTGCTGACAGATCGAGGTACTCCTGAAATACAAAGGAAAAGATAAAACATTATGAATCTTCTATGTCATGAACACTGATCATAGGTGTCCCGACCTATGTTGAGGTGTTTGCAGTGGTTCTGTGGGTCAGAAAACTGTTAATACTGTAAACCCGAATACAAAAGTGGGACAGTCCAGTGCAGTTGGGAAGTACTGCTATGCAGTTGGAGGAGCTGGCTTTTTGAGGGGACCTTAAATGGAAGCTCTGTGTGCCTTTTAGAGATGATGTAAAAGATTCCATGGCATTATTTTGAACCTGTTTCCTGGTCAACACTCATCTACTATCACTTCAAATGTACTTTTTTGACAACAAAGCACTCAGGGATTTCCTGAGGGCAAGAAAAGCACTTTTCCAATGCAAGTTTCTCTTTCTCTCCCAAAACACTGCAATTTCAATATGTGGCAGACTCCAATCTATGCTTCTATTATGATGGTCCTAATTTATACGGTGCACATTACCACACAAGAGTGAACAATTTTATTTTTCATGTGGATTATCCTGTAATGTTTTTCCATCTTGAAGGTATTGAGATACACGTCAATTGATCTAACCCACCCCAAGGGGGCTTTCTTCCCATAAGAGTCTGGACTCATGGTTTAAGATGATAAGCAGTAGAAAGACATTTGCTCACATTGGTCACTATGGTCAAGCCCTTATTCACCTCCTTCTCCTCCATCCCCAGGTACACTTTAAAAAGTAGACTCATCCTGTCTTGGCGTCAGCAATCCTGAAACCTTCCTGGCCATAAAATTTGCATGATTCTGAAGAGTTTATCCTGGATGCTCACTCTAATTGTTTATAGCTTGAGACTGCAGAACGTTCCCATTTCCTTTAAAGGGTGGGCTGCAGACGGGCCATGATAGGTGGCACTCTCAATGCTGAGAAAATTCAGCCTATCAGCACACTGGCAGGGGATGTCTCTACAAACTGCTGGCTAATCAGAAGCTGGGAGTTGCTGTGCATTAAAAACTGCCAGCCGAAGTCTACTCCCTGGGGAAATCACTTGACAGGAAAGTAAGTAATGTTTATATATTCTTCTCTAGGGGCAGGGTTGCAGTGAGATTTGGGGGTTTTGGAGTCAAGGGCAGGGAATGGCCTTCAGAGCCCCCCTCTCCCCCATTCCCATCTTTACCGTCCCCTGATTAGTGCAATTGGAGGTCCATCTTACCAAACCTAGTACTCTCTTTAATTATTAGGCCACCTTAAGGCCTGATTTTGCTAAGTGTTGTCAGCCCTTATGCTAACTAATATTGCATTGAGTGTCTAAAGCTGGTCTCCTGATTGGCTGAAGGCCTGTTTCAAGCATGGACCATGATTAATTCTTTTTTTGCCCTCTACCAATATGGTGAACTGCACATCAGGCCTGTAACAACAATGGACTTTCTTCTCACCATATTGGGAATTTATGTGATGTGGTGGGAATCTGGAATACACTGCCTGGGAGGGTAGTTGAGGGAGGAACTTTTAAAAAGTACCTGGAGGAGCACTTGAAATGCCATAACATTCAAGACTATAGGCCCAGAGCTGGAAAGTGGGACGGGTGCAAACTTAAAGTAATTTTTTTTTGTGTCAATGAGCTTAAGGGCCTCATTTGCACTTCAAAGATTTAGTGCATTATCGTCCTCAAATCAAAAACTTGTTTTTATTCACTCAAGGGATCTGTGTGTCACTGGCTGGGCAAGCATTTATTGCCCATCCCTAATTTCCCTCGAGAAGGTGGTAGTGAGCTGCCTGCTTAAACCACTATAGTCACTACGCTGGTAGACTCACAATAACATTAGGAAAGCAATTTGAGGTATGGTGGCTCAGTGGTTAGCACTGTTACCTCATGATTCTAGGGATCTGGGTTCAATTCCAGCCTCAGGTGACTGTGTGGAATTTGCACATTCTCCCTATTTCTGCATGGGTTTCTTCCCACAGTCCAAAGATGTGCAGGTAAGGTGGATTGGCCATGCTAAAGGTGGTCTAGGTGGGATGCTCTTTAGAGGATTGGTGCAGACTCAATGGGCCAATTGGCCTCTTTGAACACTGCAGGGATTCTATTATTTTGACTCAGTGACACTGACGGCATGCTGATATATTTCCAAGTCAGGATGGTGTGTGGCTTGGAGGGGAACTTGCAGGTGTTGGTGTTTCCATGTATGTGCTGCCCTTGTCCGTCTAGATCAAGGTGGTCATGGGACTAGAAGGTGCTGCCTTAAGGAGCCTGGGTGAATTTCTGCAGAGCATTTTGTAGATTGTACACACTGTTGCTACCGAGTGGTGGAACTCTCAAAGTCCTTAACTTTGTCCCAATCCTTTTTACTCAGTACTGTATGATTCTAAGAGGCCATTTAGTGCCTGAGAAATGAGGTCAATGCAGCCAGTTTTTTTATGTCCTGCTCCTTTACTTTACAAAGCATGAAAGCCCTTCAATGAATTTCCAGCATTGTTCTTAATTCAGACATTGTGATATAACCATTAGCAATTTTTGATTAATTATAGTAATTATAGGAGAACAAACTTTCCCTGTGGACTATGTCAAGTGTAAGTTCTCCTTATGATGATACACTTTGTGAAGTAATATATTTCCCATGTATTGCTGTTTGAACATTGACAATGTTTTACATTGTATAAAATCAGTGAAAAAAAAACTTGAAGCAAATTCCCAAGGTTACTACTTACTTTCCAAATTTAGCAATTGATGGATTCCTTATGAGGACCATAATGTTAAGGAGTTAAGTGCGCGAACTATAGTCCTTGTGTTTTACTACCAACCGTATGTCTCTTTCTCAGCCCCCAATGTCACACGATAGGGTCTGTAGAGTAGTGACATTATAAAAGGACCATGGTGCTGTTTATTAGGAATGTGATCACCATGTCTGTCCTTGCCAGGCACCAGAATCAGACTGAAACCCTGACCAACTTATAGCTACACTCTTGGCAACAATCCATCTCTGCTTCCCAGGTCAAAGGTTAACTGTCTGGTTGGGGCAAGTTATTGGGCAGGAGGGATGCTTTATAAAGCCTGGTGATAACTTTTTACAATCACACACTGGAGATTTGGCACTGCCGATCACTTCCAATTATTATCTGACGAAAGTTTAAACAGTGTACTAAATCAAGTCAGTCAGGTTCCGTGGCCCTTGTGAGCATTTAGAGCATTTTTTATTGCAAATTACATCAAACAATGTGCTTAGTATATTGAAGGTGAGGCTGGAAAATACTGGAACTCTGTGGCAAGTTCTGCAGTAGCTCAAAAAGGAAAATACATGAACACTTTAGCTATGAATGTGTCAGGGCAGTCTTGGTAGGCTGAAAGGCCTGTTCTTCTGTTGTACTGTTCTGTGTTCTTTATCTCAAAAGAGATATTTGAAAGTGATGAATTTAGAGGGCTACAGAAATAAGGCTGAAGAGTGGGATTAGCTGGGTAGCTCTTTTGGGAGCCACTACAGACACAATGGATTGAATGGCCTCCTTCTGTACTGTAAAATCCTATGATGCTGTAAGTCATTTTGGCCTTGGTATCCCTGGGCTTTGCTGATTAGAAATTGGCCGTGGCTTTCACTCTGGAATGGTATCCGGTGTTAGTTGCTAGAAAAGCACATGCGGATGTTGGTGACAGGAGTCTCCACAGTCGTGTCTTCTATGGACAGAAGAGGGAGATTGTTTGGGGCTGGGTGGGTCAGAATAGCAGGGGGGCTGTGCTGAGAAAGGAGCCAGGCCATGCTGCTGTGTATGTGCCAATCCCAGACTCTGGGATCCATTTACCAACTGGGCAAAGAATTCTTTGCTGCTTCAACAGTATTCAGCATTGAATATCTTAATTATTGAGAATCTTCAGTCTGATATATTTAAAGGGGCTAGCGTGGAAATTGGCCAACCGAAGAAATAAGTATGTTCTTGAATGATGTTTAGATTTTGAAGTTCTATTAATTGCTTTTAAATTAGCTTAATTAACATCTAATTCCTTTTTTCTAAGTTTTTTTTGTGATTACAAGACTGACCTCAGTTGATGTCACCGTCAGGACCCTGTCAAGATCTTCAACTAACTGTTTGAACGTCGGTCTTTGTGATGGGATGGCATGCCAGCATTCCCTCATTATCATATACCTAGAGAAAGAAACAGGATCACAGTTAAACCAAGCACAACAAGCTTCCAAATGTTAAGCACATTAAAAATACAAATAAACAGCAGATAAATAGACCATGTTGCAGAAGCCCATTACAGCACAGCAACAGGGCCAGTACGCCACAGAAAAGAGACTCATTTTATTAGTAATTTATTCTTTCGTGGGATGTAGGGATTGCTGGCTGCGCTAGCACTTATTGACCATGTTTAATGGCCCTTGAGGAGGTGGTGGTAAACTGTGTTTATGTGGCGATTCCAGTTGCTTTTCTGGTCAATGGTTTCTGCAGGATGTTGATAGTCGGGCATTTGGTAATGGTAATGCCTTGAATGCCAATGAGTAATGATTAGGTTGTTTCTTATTGGAGAAGGCCATTGCCTAGCATTTGTGCGGCACAAATGTTACATGCCATTATTCAAGCCTGGATGTAGTCCATGTCTTGCTGTATTTGGCCATGGACTGCTTTAGCACCTGAGGAGTCGCGAATGGTGCTGAACATTGTGCAATCATTGGCGAACATCCCCACTTCCAATGCTATGAAGAAGGGAAGGTCATTGAAGAAGCTGAAGGTGGTGGAGTCTATGACATTACCCTGATTGAGATGATTGACCTCCAACAATGACAAGCATCTTACAAGCACCCGGCAGAGTTTATCTCCTGATACCCATTGATTCCAGTTTTGCGAGGGCTCCTTGATGCCACACTTGGCTAAATGAAGCCTTGATGTCAAAGGCTGTCACTCTCACCTCACCTCTGGAATTCCGCTGTTTTGTCCATGTTTGGACCAAGACTATAATGAGGTCAGGAGCTGAGTGGCAGAACCCAGACTTAGCCTCAGTGAGCAGTGTCAGTGTTGTGTTAGTGTTGATTGATAGCACGGTTGAAGAGCCCATCCATCATTTTGCTGGGGCGTAATTGGCCGAGTTGGATTTGTCTCACATTCTGCTAACTCCACGGCAATGAGCGAACAGCATAGTGAGAGACGCAAAACACTGCAGTTAAGGCCAAATAAGAGCAGAGCAATAGACAACATAGGAGGGTCAACAGACACTGATAACACTTCAAAAGTACAACAGGATCAAGGGACAAAAAGAGACAAAATAAATAGAATAGCTATCACTAGAAAAACAAGTGCTAGGGAAACTAACGGGGTTAAAGGTTCCCTGGACCTGATGGGTTGCATCTTAGGATATTGAAAGAAGTAATTGCAGAGAGGGTGGTGCACCAGAAACAATCTTCCAAAACTCCTCCGGCTTTGGAAAATTGCTGGAGGATTGGAAAATTGCCAACGTAATGCCTTTGTTCGAAAAGGGAAGAAGATGAGAAAAAAAAAGGTCATTTAGCTTAGAGATAGCAAAAACTGCTGGTGCTGGAGTCAGAGATAACATAGTGTGGAGCTGGAGGAACACAGCAGGCCAGGCAGCATCAGAGGAGCAGGAAAGTCAATGTTTCGGGTGGGGCCCCTTTTTCAGAAATGGGGAGGGGGAAGGGAGCTGGGAAATAAATAGAGGGAGGAGGGGTGAGGCTGGGGAAGGTAGGTAGGATGGCGATAGGTAGATGCAGGAAGGGAATGGTGGGGATTGGTCAGTGGGATGGGAGGGGCGGATACGTGGAGAAGAAGATGGGCAGGTTGTGTCAGGTCGAGGAAGCGGGGGGATGAGAGGGAAGGTTGGATGTGGGATGAGGCCGGGGTGGGGAGGTTTTAAAACTGGTGAATTCTATATTCAGGCCATCGGGCTGTAGGCTCCCGAGGTGAAATATATGGTGTTGCTCCTCCAGTTTGCGCGTGGCGTCATTGTGACACTGGAGGAGGCCCAGGATGGAAATGTCAGCCAGGGAGTGGAAGGGGGAGTTAAAATGGTTGGTGACAGGTGCAGGGAAAGGTGCCGGGGGTGGTGGGGTTAGTGGGGAGTGTGGAGCGGAAGAGGGAGTCGCAGAGAGAGTGGTCCCTACAAAAGGCAGATAGGGGTGGGGAGGGAAATATATTTTTGGTTGTGGGGTCAGACTGTAGGTGACAGAAGTGTTGGAAAATGATGTGTTGGATGTGGAGGTTGGTGGGTGGTATGTGAGGAGCAGGGGTATTCTGTCTTTATTTTATTTGGGGGTAGGGAGTTTGAGGGCAGAAGTGCAGAAAATGCAAGAGATGCTTTGAGGGCATTTTTGATCACCAGAGGAATTGGGAGTAAGGGATCGCATTTGCACAGGAGGGTAAGTGAGAGGAGGTGTAGTCCAGTTGCCAGGGGTGGTGGGATTAGTGGGGAGTGTGGAGTGGATGAGAGAATCGCGGAGGGAGCAGTTCCTACTACAAGAATGCGATCCCTACTCCCAATTCCTCTGCTTCTGCCGCATCTGCTCCCAAGACGGAGCATTCCACTCCCGACCATCCCAGATGTCTTCCTATTTCAAGGACTGTAACTTCCTCCCACCGGTGATCAAAAATTCCCTCAACTGCGTCTCTTGCATTTCCCACATTTCTGCCCTCAAACTCCCTTCCCCCAACAAAAGTAAAGACAGAATCCCCCGGTCCTCACATATCACCCCACCAACCTCCGCAGCCAAGGTCTCATTCTCTGCCAATTCCGCCACATACAATCCAACCCCACAACCAAAGAGATATTTCCCTCCCCACCCCTGTCTGCCTTTCGTAGGAACCACTCTCTCTGCAACTCCCTCGTCCACTCCACACTCCTCACTAACCCCACCACCCCCGGCACCTTTCCCTGCAACCGCAGGAAGTGCTACACCTGCCCCTACACCTCCCCCCCACCTCCATCCAAGGCCCAAAGCAAAGTTTCCATATCCAACAGGGGTTCACCTGCACACCTGCCAACCTGGTCTACTGTATCCACTGCTCCCGATGTGGCCTCCTCTACATCGGTGAGACCAATTGCAAACTCGGGGACCGTTTCATGTGTCATCGGTGCTCTGTACGTGATAATCGATAACACCTTCCGGTCACCAACCATTTCAACTCCTCCTCCCATTCCCTGGGTGGCATGTCTATCCTGTCTATCCTCCTCTAGTGCCACAATGACGCCACCCACAAACTGGAGGAGCCACACCTCATATTCCGTTTCAGGAGCCTACAGCGCGATGGCCTGAACATAGACCTCACTGGATTTAAAATCTCCCCACTCCCGGCCTCATCCCATGACCAATCCTCCCTCTCACCCTGCCTCCTTGACCCAACACAATCTGTCCATCTTCTCTCCCAACTATCAGCCCCACCCATCCCACTGACCAGTCCCTATCACTCCCTACTTGCATCGACCTACCACCATCCCACCTACCTTCCCCAGCTCCATCCATCCTCCCTCTACTTACTTCCCAGGTCCCTTCCCCCTCCCCATTTCTGAAGAAGGGTCCCGACCCGAAACGTTGACTTTCCTGTTCCTTTGATGCTGCCTGGCCTGCTGTGTTCCTCTAGCTCCACGCTGTTTTGTCATTTAGCTTAAAATCTGTTATTGAGAAAATGTTAAGAGTCCAATATAAAGGATGTAATAGCATTTCCGAATACACATTGGACTGGATTTTCTGAGGAGTGGCAATGTCACACAGGTGGCTACTCAGGCCATTTTGTGGGAAGGGTGTGACTGGGTGTGCTCAGTGGGAGAGAGGTTGTTTGATGGGGTCCAGTGCAGCAGGGGTGATGTCTGGTTGGGGAGGTGTGTTAGTTTGAGTCTGCTGGTGGAGGCGGTGTGTTGGGTCTTACCTTTTCACATTCTTCTGACCAATACAAATCATTTCACAGTTTGAGTTAAATCCTACTTGTCTACTGATTGCACTAACCTGTTTGTGAACATTTTTGAAGTTTTACACTATGAACCTCATGGTTCATGATATTTCCAAGTTTTGTATTGTCTGCAAATCAGGCCCTGTCACCAAGATTCAGGTCCTGAACAGAAATGAGGAAGAGCAGTGGTCCCAACACAGATCCCTGGAGAACTTGACCTTCCTCCAGCCTTCTGGTCAGGGAGGGATTTCTAGAGCTGTGGACCCATACGGCTGGGATGCTCAAGAGGCCAAAATTACAGAAGTGATGTGGAGATGTAGTGGTAATGTCACTGAGCTAGTCATCCAATAATAGATTGTTAAGCTGACTAGCTGTTACTTACCTGTTTTTCTGTCTCCTTCCCTTTTTGAATAAGGGTATTACGTGAGCTATTTTCCTACCATCTTGGACTTTTCCAAAATCAATCCTGGATGTTTTCTACATTCCACCCATTATCTGTAAGCGACTTTCTCTAGTATCCTAGGTTACAGCCCATCAGGTCCAAGGGACTTATTCACTTTTAGCCCCATTAATTTCCCTAGTACTTTTCCTCTAGTGATACTTATTGTGTTTATTTCCTCCCCAACTTACAGCCCTTGAATTATTATTTTTGATTAATGTCTTAGATCTATAGCTCAGTAAAAGGCCCTTCAGCTCACTGAGGCTGCACCAGTCAAAAACAATCACCTGACTATTCTAATCCCATGTTTCAGCACGTAGCCATTAGCCCTGTAGGGACATTGCAAGTGCACATCTAAATACAATGGGGTTCTGCTTCTACCACCCTTACCGTCGGTGAGTTCCATTTTCCCACATTCTTCTGGGTAAAAATGTTTTTCCTCACATTCTCTTTAAACATTCTGCCCCTTACCCTAAAACTATGCGGCCTGGTCATTGATCCGTCCATCAAAGGAATATGTCTCTTCCCGTCTACCCTAACTATAGGGTAGATTAGATACTTCTCAATCAGGTCCCTTCTCAATCTCCTCTTCTCTAAGGAAAACAACCCCAGTCTATACAATCTCTATTCATAACTGGAACTCTCCAGCCCAGTCAAATTCCTGGTGAATTCTTCCTATTGTGAAGACTGATGCAAAGTATTTATTCAACTGCTTTGCCATTTCCTGGGTCCACATTATTATTTCCTCAGCCTTGTCCTCTAAGGGGCCTATGCACCTTTGGCTTCTCTCTTTCTTTTTATATATATTTTTTTAAAATGTTAAAACTATTAATTTTAATATTATTTGCCAGTTTACCTTTGTAGCTTATTTTCCTCACTTTTCTGGTCATGTTTTGTTGGCTTTGAAACTTCCATCATCCTCTGGTTTACCATTAATATTTGCCATGTTGTAATTTTTTCAATTTGTTTCTACCTTTGACTTCCTTGATTAACCATGATTGATTTATCCCCTTCCCAATATCCTTCTGTCTTTGCTGTGAGTCATGAGCTTACATTCGTGCCATTGTTTGCCAGCTGTCTTTTCCGCTAAACTCCTTACGTTATGGTCACTATTCCCTAGGGAAACTTTTATTCTGAGATTTATTAAACCTGCCCATTACATATCACCCGATCCAAAATAGTCTGATCACTGTTTGGAGCCACAACATATTGTTTGAGAAAACCATCCTGAATACACTCTATGAATTCTTCCAAAATAGCCAATATCTCCACCACCTGTACTTCTAAAAATTTATCTAACTGTGAATATTTAATTCCCAGCATTGCTCTCCATGTAACCATGCCTCTGTAATTGCTGTAAGATCATACTCATTTACCTCTATTTATGCCATGAATTCATTTAGAGAATCCCCACAGTGTGGAAGCAGGCCTTTCAGCCCATCGAGTCCACACTGACCTGTAACCCCACATTTCCCATGGCCAATGCATCTAACATGCATAGCCCTGGACACTAGTGGCAATTTAGCATGGCCAAACCACCTAACCTGCACATCTTTGGACTGTGGGGGGAAACCCACACAGAAAAGGGGAGAAAGTGCATTTCTACCCAGACAGTCGCCCGAGGGTGGAATTGAAGTCAGGTTCCGGTCACTGTGAGGCAGCAGTGCTAACCACTGAGTCACCGTGTCACCACTTGTCCCAAATCCTTGAATATTATGATGTTTGAAGTGATAATCCAAATATTTTTAAAGGTTGTAAGGTTTCTGGCTTCCACTACCTTCCCAGGCGGTGCTTTCCAGAGTCCCACCACTCTGAGTGAAAATGTCTTTTCCCAGATCCCCTCTGAATCTCCTGCCCCTTACTCTAAAACTATGCCCTCTCGTGATTGATCCCCCAACCAACCGGAACAGCTACTGTCTATTCAGCCTGTTCATACCCCTCATAATTTTATACATCTCAATCATGTCCACCCTCAGTCTTCTCTGCTCTAGCGAAAACAATCCAAACCTATCTTGTCTCTCCTAATGCTCAATTTCTCCACTCGAGGCAACATCCTGGTGAACGTCCTCTGTCACCCCTCTAGTGCTATCACATCCTTCCTGTGGCGAGGTGACTAGAACTGTACACAGTACTCCAGCTGTGGCCTAACCAACGCTCTGTACAACTCCAACATTACCTCACTCAGAGATAGCGAGAACTGCCGATGCTGGAGTCAGAGATAACAGTGTGTAGCTGGAGGAGCACAGCAGGCCAGGCAACATCAGAGGAGCAGAAAGTTGCTGTTTCGGGTCGGGACCCTTCTTCAGAAATGGGGGAGGGGGAAGGGAGCTCAGGAGTAAATAGAGAGAGGAGGGTGTGGCTGGGGAAGGTAGGTGGGATTGTGATAGGTGAGTGCCGGTAGGGAGTGGTGGGGATTGGTCAGTGAGGTGGGAGGGGTGGAGAGGTGGGACCCCCTTCCCATTTCTGAAGGGTCCTGACCCAAAACATCAACTTTCCTGCTCCTCTGGTGCTGCCTGGCCTGTGTTGTTCCTCCAGCTCCAGGTTCTGTTATCTCCAACATTACCTCCTTGCTCTCATACTCTATGCCATGACTGATGTAAGCAAGTGTCCCATATCCTTCATAACTATGCTATTCACATGCTTGGCTGACTTCAGGGATCTGTGAATAATTACTCCAAGATTCCTCTGTTCCTCTAAGCTATCTAGTGCCCTGCCATTCATTAAATACTCCCGCATCTTGGTTCTTCTTTCAAAGTGCATCACCTCGCACTTATCAGGTTAAATACCATCAGCTACTGACGAACCCATCTATGTCTTCCTGTAACCTACAAACGTCATCTTCACTATTAACTACTCTACCAATCTTGGTGTCATCTGCAAATTTTCTTAATGTTGCCCCCCGCCCCCACCACATTTTCAAGTATATCATTTATGTATAATAACAAACATTAAGGATCCCAGTTCTGATCACTGTAGTACACCAGTGGACACTGGCCTCCAGTCACTTGGACAGCCTTCTACCACTATCCTCTGTGTCCTATTACTAAACCAGCTTCTGATCTATCACTCCAAGTTTTCCTAAATTCTATGTGGCTTCTTAATCAGTCAAAAGCTTTGTTAAAATCCATATAAACTACTTCAACTGAACTTCCCTCATCCACACACTCGATCATATTTTCAAACAATTCTAATAAATTTGTTAGGCATGACTTCCCTCTGACAAAGCCATGCTGACTACCCATAATTAACCCATGCCTTTCCAAGTGGGTGCTAACGTGCTCCTTCAGAATTTTCTCCAATAGCTTCCCTGCCATTGATGTGAGACTTAATGGTCTGTAATTTCCTGGTTCATCTCTACCACCCCTTTTACCTCTATGGCCAGACAGGAATTAAAAATTTGTGTCAAGAGTCCCTGCAAATTCCTGCCTCACCTCCTGAGATGCATTTCATCTGGACCAGGGGATTCATCTGTGTTTAAGCCTGACAGGGCATCCAATACCTTCCCAGTTCCTATGTCAAATTGTGTAAGTTCCTCACAGTCTCTTTTCCTGAATTCCATCCCTACGTTCTCCCTTTCCAGAATGAAGACTGCATTCATTCAAAACCCTTCCAGTATCCTGCAGCTTCACACACACGTTCCCCACTTTGGGCACAACACTTTCCCTGGTTAACCTCTTCCCTTTAATATACTTATAAACTTGGGATATTTTACTGTTAACTATTGGGGATTATTTTACTATATTCATAGAACCCCTACAGTGTGGAAACAGGCCCTTCGGCCCACACCGACCCTCACAGCATCCCACTCAGACCAATCCCCCTATAACACACCTAATCTACACACCCCTGGACACTATGGGGCAATTTAGCATGGCCAATCCACCTACGCTGCACATCTTTGGACTGTGGGAGGAAACCGGAGCACCCGGAGGAAAGCCATGCAGACATGGGGAAACTCCAGACAGATAGACGCCCGAGGGTAGAATCAAACCCGGGTCCCTCGTACTGTGAGGCAGCAGTGCTAACCACTGTGCCACCATGCCACCCCAAATAAACTCAATTCATCCCAGACTGGATTTGAACTCACAAGCCCTGGCTTAGGAGGCAAATATCTTATCCATTAGGTCACTGGAGCTATTTTTATTGTGAGTATGGATTATTTTACTGTATTGGGGATGTGGGTATTTAACTGTATAGATAGTTATGTTATTTACATCTCCTGCAATAGCTCTTGTGAGGGTGTCTCAGTGTGGTTAGCCCAGGAAGAGTACTCCTGCCTGTTATGCCACTCAGGGAATGATATGCAGATTTGAAAGGAAGCCGAAATCCCTATAAATGCAGGGAGAGACTTCAACGTAGTCCCAAAAAGTTGAACTAATGCCCGAGTGAAAGCTGCTATCAGTATCCTGACAGTTTTTAGCAAAGCACCAAGCTACGTTCTGCAACATTAAGCCAACAATTTAGCGACGTGGTTTGGAATACTGGGCTTTTGCTTACAGCTCATGGGTACAATTTGCTGGCTTGTCCATTCGATGGCCTTCTTTCAGCAGTTTGAAGAGCTCCTCTACTGGGATTCCGGGGTAAGGAGATCCTCCCAGTGTAAAGATCTCCCACAACAGGACTCCATATGACCAGCTGGGAATGAGAAAAGAATAGAAACTTAATTCACTGAAGCCTTTTTTTGTAACCACTCCATTCTCCTGATGCTGTCATGCGTGGTTAACATAGTTATCAATGGCGTGACTTAATTGAATAAACTCTTTTCTAGTTACTTGGAGCATTACACCGGTCCCTTCAATCACAGAAAAGATCAGTACGCACAAATGCTGGAATTAAAATGACCAGTTAATCAGATAGTTGACAGGCCATTTATAACTTGGTCGGTCTCCTGCCAAGGCTCCGGAGCAGAACTAATGACATTCTTTTTCTCCAAATACATTTCCCCAGACTGCACAATGGGAAGCAAGTCATAGAGCCAATTCTCGCTATTGTCACTTTCCTTTACAAAAAGACCTATACATTTTAGGAAGAGCTAAGTCGATATTTAAAAATAAAACATTTCTTATTGGTAGCACTTACACGTCACTCTGGTGGGTGTAGACTCTGTCGAAGAGAGCTTCAGGAGCCATCCACTTCACTGGCAGCCTCCCCTTTAATCAGTAGGATATGGGAGTTATGATTTAATCACACGTACAGGCAGCTACAAAGGCACTGACTGGATTGCAATCATTTTATTTTTTTAACCAGCTGCAATTACTACAGATAGAACTACACACAATGCATGGTATGGACAAGAGTTCAAACAATCACAGAACCCCTACAGTGTGCAAAGAGGCCATTCAGCCTATTGAGCCTGCACTGACCCTCCAAAGAACATCCCACCCTATCCCTGTAACCCCATATTTTCCATGGCTAACCCACCGAGACTGCACATCTTTGGACTGTGGGAGACACAGGGAGAATGTACAAACACCACACAATTTGCCCGAGGGTGGAACCAAACCCTGGTCATACAGTCATAGAATCATACAGCACAGAAACAGTCCCTTCGGTCCAACTAGTCCATGCCGAACATAATGCCAAACCAAACTATGTTCAGCATGTCCTGTTCATTCTGAAGGGTCTGTTTCCATGCTGTATGACTCTATGACCTGGGTTTGATTCCCTGGCGCTGTGAGGCAACAGTGCTAACCACTGTGCCACCACAGCTGCTATCTATCCTCCACACAACTTATTTTTTAAGAATCCCTACAGTGTGGGGCCAAATGAGTCCACACCAACCCTCCAAACAGCATCCCACCCAGACCCATCCTCATCCCTGTAACCCTGCATTTCTCATGTCTAAAACCATATATCTCTGAACACTACGGAGTAATTTAGAATGGCCAATCCAACTAACCTGCACATCTTTGGACTGTGGGAGGAAACTGGAGCACCCGGCAGAAACCCAAGCAGACACAGGGAGAATGTGCAAACTCCACACAGACAGTTGCCTGAGGGTGGAATTGAACCCGGGTTCCTGGCGCTGTGGGGCAGCAGTGCTAACCACTGACCCACTGTGCCACCCACCCTGCTTCAATAATCCCATCAAAATATCCTTCTGCCTCTTTCTCCTTTTTGTTGTCATGTAGCTTCCCAAAACACTATTTGCCTCAACTGGTCTATGTGGTGGCAAGTTCCATGTTCAAACCATTCACTGAATAAAGATGCTTTCCCTGTGTTTCTTATTGGATTTACTAGTGACTATTTTATATCTGTTGTCCTAAATTCTGATCACCCTGCAACATCATCTCTATATTTATCTTTCATAATCTTAAAGGCCTCTATCTGGTCATCACTTGGCCTTCTCTTTCCTAACCAGCTGTAGTCTGTTCAGCCTCTCCTGGTCACCTAATATTCCCTCCAGCTGCCGCTCCCTAATGATCAGTCACCTTAGCCTCCACCCGGTTGCTGCGTTCACTCACGTTTGTTGTTTTCTTGTAGTAGTCGATGTTGTGCACGTCCCTGGCCAGGCCAAAGTCGGCAATTTTCATCACATTGTCGTCCGTCACTAGCACATTCCTGGCTGCCAGATCCCGATGAATACACTAACCAGAAAACAAAATCCCCAAACAGAACAATTAAACCATTTGCCGGAGGGAACAGAAATAAACCATTCAGCCAGCATAGTGTTCACTTTTCTCCAACTATCATGCCCTTTATCCCTGTGTTGGGGCCTGCTGATTATAAACATATGGGTCCATTAATATTCAATTATTAAAATTTCTGCTTTGGTAACCGCGTGTAGCCTGGGGTTATAAACTACATTAATTACAATTGTCTCATACATTGAGGGTCTAATGTTTAACAATACAGTCACATTCCCCCAGTCCCCTGCTTTCGCAACCCTTAGATTGCCTGAATTCAGGAATGGCAAAGCTCACCTGTCTTAGACGAGGTCTTTGGGAAGTGCTGCCATTTTGATTGTGGACCACTCAGTCCAACACCTTGATGTTGCTGGTGAAAGCCCCCAGCAGACGTAACCCATGACACAAAGGCCTGGATACATTCACGTTGTGTTTCCTATTAATAAATTCACTGTGGGTCCTGGGGAAATGCAGGAAATTTTCTCCTGGCCTCAAGGATCTCGTGGGCCTTCCGTCTCCCCCCGCCACCCCCCTCACTTACATTGCCGGGTGCCATTTCCTTGACTCCCGAGCCTCAGCCTGCCTCCTCTGCATGAGTTCCAACTACAGCCCACTCTTGCTATTGTTGATATCATCCTCAATGAATATCAAGAAATGCCTCTCTCCTGTTTCAGGCAGGCTGTACCAGCCCACTTTAAATCACACAGCATGGAGCAGGGAAAGGAATGTGATGTTCAGTGCATCTGTCCACTTTTCCAAAGGGGACACAGTTCTCCTCTGGCTCGGTGGGCAGGTCAGCAGTGACTAAAAGCAACAAGAAAATCTGAGACAAAAACCAGAAAATGCTTGACAGCCTCAGCAGGCCAGTCAGCATCTGTGGAAGCTGTATATTTTTAGTTTCGACGGATGGATCCACAGACCAAAATGTTAAGTTTTGCTTTGCTTCCCTATAGATGCTGCTTGACTTGTTCCATCAGCAGTTTCTGTCTCTGTTCTACGAGGAATAGCTACTTGGTCAAGACCTACAATTGCCTGCAGGCTTGTGTCCTAGCTACAGCCAATACCGCTGCATTGAAAACAAAATACTTGGAAATGCTCACTATCCTGCTGGCCCAGGAGCTGGGAAGTGGGTTGCTTTTGAGGCCAGAACAGACATGATGGACTAAATGGCCTACTCCCTTCTCTGATGGAGACTTTCTGTGTACCTATATCAGTTCTACCACAGCTCGCAAACGAGAATCGGAGCGGGGGTGGGAGAGGAAGTAACTGAGTACTCACCTTTTGAGAAGCTAGATATTCCATGCCACGTGCCACCTGGTAGGCACAAGATACGAGATCTTTGAAGGTTAGCTGTTCATCTGGCACTTTGCATGTGTCAAAAGAATAATCCATGCCAGGGGGTCGTCGGGCTTTCAGGTATTCCCGCAAGTTGCCTTTCGATGCATACTCAACGATGACATAAAGCGGACCTGAATGGGGGTGGAAGGCTGCACATTACATTCCAGGGAAAGGAAGCAGCATCAACGTAAGGATTAGCCCATGGGGAATGCCAACATTCGTCCGCCCACGGAGGAATGGGCTCTTCCGAGGGACTCCTGGCTTGTCAGTAAGACTAAAGGAAGTGAACGAGTATTGCCGCACCACAGAGAGACAAATAACCAGATGGTGTGTACACAAAGGGACAGCTCGAACTGCACGATCAAACAGACACCACCAGTGACAGCACCATCATTGATCAGAACCCACGGATCAATGTTCAACTGAACTGATTTCATAGCACTGCCATTGTTATGTAACACACTTTGTACTTCCTGGTAAATGCGTAATGAATCTGTTAGGCTTACTTTGACATTATGAAGAGAGACTGGATCGTTTAGGAAAATATTCACTTCATTCAGAAGAAAAGGGGTGGATTTCATAGTAACATATGAAATTCTAATGCAAGTAGACAGGGTCAACACAGGAAGGATGTTCCTCATGACTGATTTAGATAAGTACAAAGAACAAAGAACAAAGAAAATTACAGCACAGGAACAGGCCCTTCGGCCCTCCAAGCCTGCGCCGATCCAGATCCTCTATCTAAACCTGTTGCCTAAAGTACATGAATAAGAAATGTTTGGAGGGAAATGGGACAAGCGCAGGCAAGTGGGATTAGTTTAATTTGGCATTACGTTCGGCATGGACTGGTTAGTCTGAAGGGTCTGTTTCCACACTGCATGACTTGATGACTGGGGAGTCCAGAACCAGGAGTCACAAGCTAAGGATACAGGGTAGGCCATTTAGGAGTGAGAAGAGGAGAAATTTCTCCACCTAGACAACGGTGAGCCTGTGGAATTCCCTGCCCCAGAAAATGCTGAGGCCAAAACATAGCATATTTTCAAATAGGAGTCAGATATAGTTATTGGGCTAAAGGGATCAAAGGGTATGGGGAGAAAACGGGGTTATGGCACTGAGTCGGATGATCAGCCATAATTATATTGAATGGTGGAGCAGGCTCGAAGGGCCAAGTGACCTACTTCTGTTGCTATTTTCTGTTTCTAGGTAGTCAATTCACCTGTACCCTGCATGGTCTGGGAAAATTACAAACAGTTCTTGAGTCCAGATGTAGCCGATAAAATGGTGGCTCAGTGGTTAGCACTGCTGCCTCACAGTGCCAGGAACCCGGGTTTGATTCCACCCTTGGGTGACTGTCTGTGTGGAGTTTGCACATTCTCCCTGTGTCTGCGTGGGTTTCCTCCGGCTGCTCTGGTTTCCTCCCACAGTCCAAAGATGTGCAGGCTAGGTGGATTGGCCATGCTAAATTGCTTATAATGTCCAGGGATGTGTAGATTTGATGTGTTATAGGGGGATGGGTCTGGGTGGGATGCTCTGAGGGTCGGTGTAGACTTGTTGGGCCGAAGGGCCTGTTTCCACACTGTAGGGATTCTATGAATAAACAAGTTTGTAACCTCTGGTGCACAGACTGCACTCTCCCTACAAGTTTGTACAATTCAGAGCAATAACCTGATATGCAAGGAAACTAACATTGAAATCTCAGCCTTCACTCAGCCGGCCAGCATCCCCTTTATGTACACGCTGAAAACATCACAGAGGCATCTTTCACACTCACCATCCTGAGTGCAGGCTCCAAGCAAATTGATAATATTTTTATGTTTTCCGATCATCTTCATCATTTCCATTTCTGACACCAGGTCAGACAGGTCTTTGTCAGTGGCATCGTCTACAAGAATAAAGTATAGAAATAGTAAGCACTTAAAAACAATGAAATGGCAAAATGCACTGTTGCTTTCAAGTGAGATGTATACAGTGGCCACACATCAGAGAGAATATTGACAAGACATGACCAAACCCATATCTACAACAAATAAAAATTGTGTACAAGGTGCACACTTCCTGTTGTCGTCATTTCTGATTGTATTTTTCTCCCAATATTTAGGTTTGTAATTTGACTCTCAACGTTTGTAACTTAACACTTCTCATGATTGACTATGTCAACAGTCACTAAGTACTGAGACAACAAGGTGCAGAGCTGGATGAACACAGCAGGCC